ATAATGTTGTCAAAAAGCATAGGTCTTCAATAATGTTGCCTTGTAGTTATGCTTAATGCGTTTTCTTTTCAAAACTGAAGAAATAATAACTTAATTGCCTTTAAGCTAAGCACTCTCCATCAATATTAGTTGACTGAAAGACGACGATTGCTAGTATCGTTCTTTATCTGTTTAATATAAATTTAATTACATGGTTAAACATTTAATTTCATATTTATCTTGTTTTCCGAAACAAAGAAATAGTGATCTTTATCATTCCGAAAATAATGTGCAAATATTTTCATTCACTTACTATTTTTTACACATATGAAAAATTATTTTAACAAAGATGAAATCAAAAATGCCAACTCTGTTTCTCAACAGTGCATGAAATCTAGTCTAACCTCTTATATTATGATGATTAAGAACACATACGGCTGTAACGTTTCATGCAATAATGATTAATCATTCTCTTGTGCGATACCTTAGAAAAAAAAATTGTGGTTTTCATGTTTATGTATGAGAAACATAATCAGTTCTGAGAGTATAGTAGTCATGTAGGAATTATTGAATTTTTTTTTTTTTTCAAGAACTAAATTTAAGCAATGATTTAGGATGTGCAGCAGCATGTAAATATCAACAAGGACAATATCAATTACAATTCGCAAGAGATCGACAATATGTCCATCTTCAACTTACATATCTTCGTTATCCAATAGGAACTAACACTTGGACTGGAATTGCTTTTGGACATTCAATGGTTAATATATATTTAAACATGTCATGCAAATCCAAAGTTTATCGTTTGATATAAAAATTGAAGATTCTGATCTTAGAGTTAATGCACAAAATATTGGATTTATATACGATACTGAATTTAAATAGTTTTTATATTATTTTAGAATGATGGTCTTGATTTCATTAGTGTCCGTATATTCAACAATAAGATATCAGTAACTGATGAATTTGTTCGAGGCTATAGACCACCGAAATTGGATGCTAAACAAAATGTAATTGTCCAGCACGCTTCATTAGATAATGGGGATTTACGAATTCGATTTGCTAGACCAGTGCTTTCAAATGATACTGCTGATTTCTCGCTCGCTAGCTGTTTGCCGTGGCAGGTTGGTTTCATCATTTGATTATTTAGAGAATTAAGACGAAATACGATTATGCAGATTTACTGGCTTAAGTTTTAATTGAATGGATTAGATGTACTCATGCATTTGATTTACGCTATTTATGTTTCAGCTGTTCGTAACGACGCATGTACTTGTGAAGTTTCATGATTAAAATACTTCTAGAAGTAACTAAATTAAAAATTTTTCTAGTTTCCATTTATGTTATCACCACTCGATTCTGCTGGACAAATTCGTAAGCACCAAATCAGTCCGCTGGGAATGGTTATCTGCATGGATCAGTGTCCGTGCGGACCTACTTCTACCTTGAACCGATGTCAGTTATGATTAACTATGAATATGAAGTTCTTTTTCCAAATATAATTTAACGAAGACTCATACTTATGCTATTTAAATAATGAGATAATCTCTCACCTGGTAAAATCTACCTTCCCTTTACAGTGAAATGTCATCAAAAAATGAAGCTGACGTGCTATTAAGTAATAAGCAAGTATCACATCATTAACATATAATGTACCGTTCTACGATAATTTTTTTTTACGGTGGTCTTATGCTTTCTGTTGCTCATACATCACATTTACTCTCCTTGATAAAAAGAAGAGAGACAAATACACCACGACAATGCATCACAGTATGAGAGTACTTCTCGTTTCTAACCTTTTTAATCTATTTTCGATAGGACAGAAATAAATAAAACCTTTCAGTTATTAATTCACAAAATAAAAACGCAGATTAAACAGCAAAATGTAACCGTATAAAACAATAAGCTAATAGAACCAATGAAATCATCCTATTTTAACGTATGAAAAGGAAAGATTTTAGTTTCCCAGAAAGCTTCAATTATACCGATTTTTCTAGTTTAAAATAGAAGATCAGAGCAGGAACGACAGTTTTTTACTTGCAGAGTTTCTCGGAAAACAATCACGTTTTCTTTTTTCTCAGTACAGAAATAAATAATTCGACAAGTTAAAATAACAGTTACTATATCTTATTGTAGTAAACAAAACTACGAGAACTGTTTTATCATTGAGATCATGTTATATTTCCTTTATTTTAAACGTAACTGTTCATAACATTGATCCTAATCAGAAAGACTGATAGCAATTAATTAAGATTTTTTATTGAATATTCAATAAAACTATAAATCCCAGCTAAAGAGATGGTGTTTGATCAGCATATCTCGTACACTCTCTTTTAATGGCTGATCAAACGAACTTCGAATCGTAGTTGGTAGCATGTTCGAAAATGCCTGAAATTAATATCGTTTATAGAAAAATACATTTTTACTTTAATCAGTCATTTAATTTCCAATTAGTTTTATATGAAATCAATGAAGCTATGAAATTCGAATTTGAATTATATTAAACTGGAATAAATTTATTCATATAATAAATGAAGTGAGAATTTCTGGCCCGCAGAATACACATGAGTGGAAACCACACTCTAACAATTATAAAATTTCATTATATTTCAAAATTAGAAAAAAAACTTAATGAAGCACATTCAATTTGCTCTAGATAGCAATTTACTAAGTCCATGATGTTTCTTTGTAGGAATACCTTTTTTTTCAGTGTCTCATTTAAAGTCAAATTCTTCTTTCGGACAATGTCTGCGACTTCATAATCAACACTCAAATTAAAGGAGAATTGTGCCAGAAGCCGCAATTCACATTTTATCTGCAAAAAAGAAAAAAAAAACAGTCTTTTCATTTTGGCAAACACAAAGGAAAACTGCACTTTTGTTAAATGCGAAATCGGGAACATTCAATATTTCATTTGATTCCTAAACATATTTTCTTTTTAGCTAATTGGTTTTAACATTATCATGAAGAAACTTAGCAATTTTGACATTTAGAAAAAGAATTTCAAAAATGCTAACCTGCCTCCATATTGGTGATCGTATAAATGACCATGAATGGTAAAATTTAATTCTGATCTGCTCTTGATCTGGACAACTGCATAGCAAATCAAACCATAAGTGAAGACATTGCTCACAAACTGCTAGAGCAATTAGAGAGCGAAATTTTACATCCATTTGGGCACCAACTGCATTATGCGACTCGTTAATCAATTTTACGGCCCGAAATAATAGTTCTTCTGGTGTTAATACCTAGTAAATGTAAAAGTTAACAAGTAAGCGTCACGGTTTTTGAAATACTAATTAATTTGAACCGCTGCCTAAATTTATTCCTGTCATTAAAATTTGCTTGTTAATTTCCTTTGTATTCAAACTATCCTATTTCTAACATCATATGTTACGGTAACCAAATTCTGCCACGAGCTTGGAAACGTGATTAAGTAAAGCCGGAATTAAATACTCCACCAATAAGTGAATATCAACTTCCCAAAAAAAGCTCACATTATTAATTATCCATCTATTTATTCATTCGCTAATTATATTTTCGATGAAGTGATAGCAGTGTCAAAGACTATTAAGTGTTGCATAATACTGTTTAAAAATAAAATGTATTCTTGTTTTCTGCCAACTGGACAAGTTTGTGACCAAGTTTAAAATTTTTCTTGACGATGCAATCATAATTCCTACCAGATAAATTTTCACGGAAATTTTTGTGAATTTTGATGCTGATTATTACAGCTGACATGATTACATAGATTTAATGATGAAATTGTTCAATCCTGACAATAACTAGACTTTCATATCTCCCTTCCTTTTACCAGCAAATATCAGGTTCAATTTTAACTACGGACCTTAACCTTTAAACTACAAACAGCAATCTCTATAAGAATACCTTCGATAAAAATTTGTATCATTTCAAAGCTTAACTTTAAATTATGAAAGTCGCAAACAGCGATTTCTTAAACGGGTGTGAAAAAAATAAATATTCAGTTCTCTATAGAAATTCATGTTAAAAAACGACAAAATTCGAGAAAAGACGCTAAAATTACCTCTCCATCTTGATCCAAACTGAATGTTGAACAAAGTGTTAGACGAGAATATACGGCATTATAATGCTTTTGCACAAAACTTTGTGAAATCTCTTCTAAAAAAAGAGCAAAAAAGCATTTTAAATAATCTAAAAAGAGAGAAAACTGTTTCCTTTTTTATTTTCCACATAACGAAAACATACCAATGAAAAGCCATGGATGTGAAGCAAAATTAAGTACACCAGATCTTCGCAATCCATGCTCCAAAATTAGTTTCAAAGCTGAAGCCAAACGTCTACGAATCTTATCCGTTATCTCTGGACAAACCGCTTCATCACCGTATATTGTATAATCACGTCCACGATCATCAACTATCTGAAAATGTTAACCGCAAAACTGTCAAAATTTCGAGATATCAAAATAGAATATTGACACATTCATGAACTAATAAATAATCAATGGAACAAAATGGAACAACCTCAACAAATTTTGCTGGAAACCATCCTCTTAGTCCATTTACTTCACCAATCCAGCAATGTTCATCTTTTTCACAAATAACTGTTATTATATCATTCTTCCTTCAAACGACAATATTCATTATCAGCAAATTCACTTCACTGAAGAATTTTTTTCAATAAAACTGAAAATTTGAATTGAATAAAAAAACTGAAAACTTGTACCTGAATCCTAATTCGTCATCATCTTGTCGCCTAAAATCTAATAATGCCCTTGCACGACGATATGCGCGATGTCGCGTTTTTAAAAATTCCACCTTTTCGCTTTGCTGATCCTCTGCTGAGTAATCTGCCTCAAATGAAATTACATATAACAATCTGATGCTTGCCTAAGCAAAATTGTGAAGCAATAATTTGAAATGAATATAAACCTGTAGGTTGACTATTCTTTTAAACGACTCATCACATTCAATGAAATATCGACAAATATGCAAAACAGCATCTCGTAAATCGACGATAAGTTCAGTAAGGCGGACATTTTTCGTTTTCGGATCACTTTCTGTATCCTGAAAATAATTCATGAATAGATCTTAATTCCTAGAGCAATAACTTCATCACTTTAAATGAATTTAAGATTTTTGAAATGTTCAAATGAACGCTTTAAGTACTTTCTGCTTCTGGAATACTTGAAAAACTGTCAGATACAAAAACTTTTAATATATTAAATGACTCCTTAAAGATTAAAGAGAGGCGAAAATTTTTGCCTGAGCAAGTTTTTTTCCAGCCACTGAAGTTTAAGAGAGAATAAAATTTAAAAAACTTGACTTAAAATTCTGCACATAAAGTTAGTTTGAACATTTTAAATTCAAATCAGTTTAATAAGAAATTCGAATTTCTGCTCGTTTCTATATTGATTCAAATGTGTGGAAATAATTTTTATAAAAATTTAATTTAAAAATTTTCTACTACACTTGAATTTCTATCGAAAAATTTCTACTATAAAAAATTTCGAAATTAGAAATAAGAGATTGCATCTTAAGTGAAAATTTCGGATTCTGAAAGTTAGAAAAGAATCAAACAGTGATGATTAAAAGTGCAAAGTGATAAACATCTGATCAAACTCTCCACAAAATTTTTGAAATCATTGAATTAACTTTCCACGCATTCCCTATTATTAATGAAAGCCCATCACAAGATAAACTACACCTGTTCCTTAGATGAAGCAAATATTTGCTGCACAAAACTTTTTGATCCCGTTAGTCTACGTCTTCGAACATGCTGTTTTGGTAAATTTGTAATATTATTTGTGTTTATGATAAGTCCTTGACCAGCTAATAGAATTGCTTGCTGATGTTTTCGAGCTGTTTCGATAAATTCCTCAGTTATTGAAAATTCAAAAGATGTACACAGTTCCATTAAGTACCCTGTAAATAATTTTTAAACAGTTGTCATTATGCAAGTGGAGAAAGAAAAAGAAAACTCACTTGGATTATTTAAAGATGCTGGAATTTGCGATATTGTATTGAATAATTCTACCGTAACGTTTTCGTTGTATTTCATTTCTATCAAATCATCCTCTTTGATTTTCAAAATCGAGATTAACACCTGCAAGTAAGGAGATTTAATGATTTTTACAACTGCTTCATTACTAGCTCTGCTTTAATATCGCATGTTTAACAAATTGCTTTCAAATCGTTCATTAGTTAGGCTATCTGTGGGAAAATTTATAACTACATAAAATTACAGATAATCCAAATGAACAGGTCATAAAACAAGACATTTGGAAAACTGAGGTCATAAATTCTTCTCAAAATACTAATGCCCAAAGTGCAAATAATCACGAGCATAATCACCAAATATCAAACTGAAAAGTAAACATTCCTAATAGTTCTGAATTCAGATTTCCTTCACTTTTACTTCTCCAATGAAGCGGCATGCAACTTAAAACGCCAGTACATATTAGAAAGATCCTTCTGAAAGTAATTAGTATTTACCCTGAACATCGTCACTCCACCAAAAAAGAATAAACAATCCCAAACACGCAGTAAAACTCGCATAGAAAAAACTGATGCAAAAGCTGTTAAAAACCAATTAATAGTAATTAGTGATAACTCGACGTCATTATCTTTTAAAATATAATTCAATTCAGGCATATGTATCCCAATTAACTGCTGCAAAACTCGTTGATCAGCCTGAAATTTTGTTATTTTTCTTGCATATTGATGCTTAATGTATGGAAAATATTGAAGATAATAGGAGTTTTTTTTGATAATTTTTACCATAGTATCTTATTCGAAAGTGAGAAAGAATAGCTTTTGTTAGCAAGAAATGTTAAAAAAAGATAAATAAATAAGAATTAGAGACTGAATCGCTATTCATAAAGAAGAATTGTAATTATTATATGAAAACGAAGGAAATATAATTCATTACCTGCAAACCAAGAAACGATCGACTGTAGTAATTGGGTGGAAATATATCTTCAATTAATGATGCTATAATCCAGAAAACTGTTTCTTCTGAGCAAAATAGCAATAACGAAGCTGCAATAACACCCATTCCTTGACAATAACCAATATCCGGATAAATATAAGCAATCGATTTTAGAACTCTTCGTAAGCTTTCGATACCTTTACTACTGGGCTCCCAAAAACATATATTGTTAGGCAAAGTTCTGAAACATATTAAAACCTTTCAAAACATTATCTGTATAAAATTCTGCATAATGTATGTTTAAATTCAAAAAGTATTAGAAAAAAATTTGATCAAAATATAAGTTTGAACTTTTCTAACAAAAATGAAAATTTTCCCAAAATTTCATTTATAACTGAAAATTAACCATCTTCCACCTTGATAAATCTTTTTCAATTTGCGCACTTGTTGATGAATTATCCTTGTCGCAGTGCTTGATTACTTCGACATAACTGAAAGCACTTGCCGCTTTCTTTTTTGTTGCACCGCAAAACCTCGGCCATAGAAAAGGCCGCAGTGAATGGGAAATTCCAATTTCATGGATAAGATTTATCATTTTCTCATAATCCAATTTCTCCACATCAACCTTCGACCATATTAGCTCTTCTTTCACATCATCGTGGCCAAATTCAAGCAGTGCTATCCAACGCATTCTTAAGAAAGCTACATTATTAAATAATTTCATGGATGAGACATAGTTATATAGCATTGTATAGCGTTACAAATAGCAAAAATGATTATCTTACATTCATTTGTACTAATTTTTCGAAACTCAGAATAATAGATTTAAATTTTGTACCGATTTTGAGATGTTTCTATTGGTAGCAAATTGTTGCTATTAACTTTGCGATCGATATGGAATCCAAATTCATCAAAACTAAAAGACAAAAGAAAAATAAACTTTGAAAAATACGTCATTGCGACAAGATAAATGAAAATCGCTCTTTTGGCCTAAAATAATTTTATAGAAATTAATGAGAATTCGACGTAATAATTTTTATTGCTTACGTTGAATATTTAAATCATGCACCTTAATTTCCCCACTTCTATTCATGCAGTTCATGAAATTTATCTCGAAACATCACAGAAGTGATAATATCATATTTAAACAATATATTGATTGTTGTTTTAGTCTGACTGATACGTTACCACTCCCTACTAAATCATATTTTCAACAAAAAGAATAATTTTCTATAATATAAACGGAAAATTTACATTTCCGATGTCTCTGCAAACGAATCGGGCAATAAAGTTGCATTGATTGCTGAAAAGGGTTGTTCAGAAATATTGAATATTGACTGATGTACTGGTATATCCGCTTCCTTCCGCCAGTAATT